AATTATCTCTCATATTTCCTTTACATATACAGTTGAACCTGTTTATCTCGAACCTGCTTATCTCGAAAACCTGTATTTCTCAAATTTTATTTAATTTTAATGTATTTTTTCAAGTTTATCTCGAAAGAATTTCTTTCAAAACCTGTGTTTATCGAATTTTGAAGGAGAATGTACATCATCGTAACCGATGCCTGGACAGCAGAACTTGCTCAAACAAGCTACATTAGAAGAACAGAAAAATTCCCTAGCCCCACGGGAAGTAAGAATGAGCAGAGTGGGGGGTCGTTTCTTGGAATTTCCGGTTACTATCATCACACTCTCCAACCAATTAAGTGTATTCGGACAATGGAAAGTTGATTGATGAGGGGGGCGTCACCACTGGGCATCAGTTTCCACACATGGATAAGAACAACACAAATAGAGATTCATTTTATCAGTAGAATTTTTTTAGGAGGTCGTTGGTTTGAGCGTCTCAGTTTTTTTTTAAACATTGTTCAATTGACTTTTGATTAAGCATGGCAGGGGCTAAACGTAAATTGAATGTTCTCTCCATTGAAGAAAAAATGAAAATTTTAACATTCTTGGACGGAAACCCATTAATGAAAAAAAACGAAGTTGCAGTGAAGCTCGGTTTACCAGAAAGCACTCTTTCTACAATTATTAAGAATCGAGAAGCTGTGGAGCAAAAATTTCATAGCAGCAACAAGAATGTGAAAAAAAGCCGAAAATGCACTTTTCCGGACGTGGATGAATGTGTTTTAAAATGGTTTACACAATGCAGGAGCAGCGGTATTCTTATCAGTGGACAAATAATGCAACGAAAAGTTGAGGATTTTGCTAAAGAGCTTGGCCATGAAGATAATTTTAAAGGTAGTAACGAATGGATAGAAAGTTTTAAAAATAGGCACGGTATTATTTTTCGAAAACTTTGTGGTGAAAGTGCATCTGTTCCGAAAAGTGCAAGCGAAGAACATTCCTGAAAACCCCATTGATAAAAACATTCCTGATTTAGTGAAAGGCTATGAGCCAAAAAATATTTTCAATGCTGACGAGACAGGACTGTTTTATCAATGTTTGCCAGACAAAACTGCTATATTTAAAGATGAAGCATGCAGGGGAGGAAAACAAAGTAAAGCTCATTTGACATTGCTCTTAGCTGCAAATGAAGCAGGCACAGAGAAACTTCCTCCTCTCATGATCGGACGCTCAGAAAAGCCTAGATGCTTTTCTAAAGTAAAATCCTTCCCTTTTCCATACAAAGCAAATAAAAAATCTTGGATGACGAGTGAAATCTTTGGAAATTGGTTAAAGTCCTTAGACAAATCCATGCGATTAAAAAAAANAAAAAAGAAAAATTATTCTTTTTATAGACAACTGTAGTGCGCATAACAATCTGCCTGAACTGAAAAATGTTTGTGTTAAGTATTTTCCCGCAAACACCACCTCAAAGCTTCAACCTATGGATCAGGGAGTAATCAGAAGTTTTAAAGTTAACTACAGAAAACAGTTGATCTGCAAACTTGTAGATGCAATTGATGAAGGAAGTACCCTTTCCAAGATAAATGTACTGGATTCTATCAGAATGACAGACCACGCATGGGGAAATGTAACACAGAAGACCATTCAAAATGGTTTTAAAAAAGCTGGGTTTAAGAATGAGTGTGAAGAAGAGATGGGGATTATTGAATAAGAGAATGAAATTTCCGAAAAGGAAGCTGAAGAAACTTATATCACTGATGAAGAAATGATCGAAATAAATTCACAAGATTGGAATGCAATAAAATCTGGATTAAATGTGAAAATTTCCTTTGAAGAATTTTTGCAAGTGGATGACGCCTTGGCCACATGTGAAACTTTGACAGATTCGGAAATCGTCGATAATGTCAGATGCATTTCCGAAGACGAAAATGAAGTAGACGAAGATCATATAGAAGCACCGAAAGTGACAGTAAAGGAAGCTGAAAAAGCTGTGGAACGTTCAACAAACTTTCTTGAATGTCAAGAAAACGTTGGACACGAGGGGTTCGCTGCTCTTTCTAATATTCGAAAAATTATCGAATCAAATAAAATCCAACGTCAGAACTCATTAAAAGACTACCTATGAGGTGCGTATGACTGTTGAAAACTTTTATAAGATGTAATTAATATGTAATCATAATTAA